GCATCATTTCGTGACATATAAATATAAATACAGTATATACATAGTGTATGAATACAGCATCTCAACCAAAAGGTTTCTAATGTTGCTGATACAATGAAATAATCAGAAAGATGCTGTATTTAAAAAAAATGCACGGACAATGCTAAAATTATGTCAGATGACATTTACAGTTCATTTTTTCAGTGTTATACAAAATTATTCATGATAACTGCAAATAGATTCCAGCGAAGAGGATACCTGTGAAGGGCGATATATTTTGGTGACGTGTGTGGGTCTTGACCAGTGTATTCCATCAGACCCCAACTACCATATTTGGAATAAGAACTAGCAGACGAGAAATAGTTGAATAAACCTCCTGAAAAAATGAAGTTGTTTAAAAATAGTTTAAGCACAGTAACTTTCTGTCATGTAAGATATCATGAAATAATCGAAAAGTTAACTGCAGATAGGACATTGTAAAATGAAAGACAAAGTTAACTGTTCCTTTAGTTGGCAAGAGTATCGGAAGTGTCGGCAACCACTGAAATGTAAATACTTCGATTTTGTTGGAAATAATTATTAACTATATATCATCAACTTTATGATACTTCTTTGTAAGTTCAGATAATACCCTTGGATTTATGAATGCAGGGTTTGCAGCAAGAAAGCTTAAACACTTGATGGCAATTAAACTGACATTTCAATTTTTATAAATAAGTAAGACATGTTTAATCATTCTAAATTGAATAACTACTATTACTTTGTTCTTTGACACTCAAATAATGTATTTAAAAAGCTGTAGTTAGATGTATCAGGCAGAAAAAACTATTTTTCACAAGGCTTGTCAATTATGCAAAATGTTCTTGTTTGGCTCATAAAAGTGTTACCATGCTCTTCATATGTAGAAAGACTAAATGTCAAAAAATGGTCATTTAAGATTTTTATAAATTAGTTAAACAAAAACGAAACAAAGTTTAAACATTATAAATCATTATATATTGAAAGAACCTTTTTTTCTTTCTACACTCCAAATATTACTTCATATATAAATAGTTAGTCATCTTGTGTTCAAAAAACGCAGCCCCCACCCGACCCAGTAACAAGGGCCAGTGGCAATGAGCCCAGGAGGACCCCAAACAAAAACAGGACAGGGCACAAGGCAGATCACGGGCAGGCAAACCACTAAATAATTAGTAAATAAGGAACTAAAAGAAAACAAATAAATGATGGAATATAAGGCCCATAAAGTCAAAGGCACAGGGAAAGGGGACATGAGACCCGGGGGAAGGGTCCAACATTAACACGGTTTAATGCGTTTTAAAACTGGCACCTAAAGTAACATTATGTCCATGTTTTTATTGTCAAGTTAAGCTGAATCAAAAGATTGACTGTTATAATGATGATTGACCAACAATTGATGCTGGAAAATGTTTTCGATAAAATATAAATCTGCCTAAAATATGTAAAGACTGTCAAATAATGTTGCAGGTAAATTCCGTAGGATATATACAGAAATTTCTTTGGGCTATGTGAGCTTTTTTATTGTTATGAGAAATAGAGGATATTTGTTTAGTTCAGTGTAAGATCGGAATATATTTCACCGAGTGAGCACCAAAAAGTATATTTCACGAGTGGCGCAGCCACGAGTGAAATATGAACTTTTGGTGTTCACAAGGTGAAATATATTTCGATCTAACACTAAACTTAACAAATTTTCTTTTTATTATATGCAAAGAAACATTTTAAAAAGACATTAAACCTAATACTGAATAAAAAGCGCGCCAAATAATAATACAACGTGACGTCATTTACGACGTCACGTCATTAAGTTGGTACCCAGTACTGTGCACGCTGGCATTTCACTGAAACAACGTAAGGGGCTTAAATTCAAAACAGTGAAATTATCAAAGTGGTAATTTCACTGTTTCAAACAGTGAAATTACCAGTTTTATATCACTGATATATTTCTATAAACCACCGAAAAGCATGTAATAAAGAAAAATCTTTATGACAAAGTATAGACTAATGTTAACTTTCACCTGTTTACTCACTAAATATACTTGGATGAGCATGATGCCATTTTATCTTATCAATGGAATCTTCTATTTTGTTTTTGGTGGTGGTATGGCGACTGTTAAGCTTTCCTTGTGAAGGAATACTTCAGTTGCCATTATGTGCATTATATCAGGCACGAACGGGAATCTTAGTCAAACAACCGACGTTCCTTTAGCTTACTAAATAAAATAGATAGTCACTGAAAAGTTCCTTAGTTAGTATCAATAAATAGTCACAAAAGCTAGTATCCGGAGGGTCCATGAAATAAAAGAATGTATAATACAAAAGTATTATGTTAATTATGATCGCAAACAAATCTGAAATTAAGTACAAAATTAGAGAAACAATACATGTAAATACCCGGATGTTTGTTATACTGGTCGGACACCACAACATCATACCAAGCTTCAAGAACATCTAGAGTGGCGTCCCCTGCCAGATCGTGTCTGTTGAAAGCTATAGCATGGTCAGTGGCGTTATTATTTCGTGAACTCTCTAAGCCAGGCCCTCCTTCGTACATCAATAACTTTAAATTGTTTGCCTACAGAAATTAATACAAGAAAATCCTTCTTATTTTTGAATTATTATAACAAATTGAGTAGAAAAGTAGATACAATGAACGCCAAAATTTCCAATATATATCATATGCATATCATATGCTAGCTTCATTTAACGAAAATGTAATCATGGTTTACACAAATTTGATTTAACGAACGGTCGAAATCCTCTAGACCTTATGTCAACAAGGACAGGAGCCAAGAATATCACGTTTCTCATGACATGCTGTTCTATTATCAATGGGGGTAAAGTTGTAATTTTTATTCTTGAAGATGATTCATTCGGAACAATATGTCGAGATTTAATTCATCATTCGGAACACCTCGCCGATTACCGTTAGTTATATCGCGATGATATCGGTAACAACAAAAAATAAAAATTGATTCTAGCCCGCGACCTTTGATATATGACATGCGAACGGAAAAAACGTGTATTAAATAAAAAGTTGCTCAACAATCAGAACCGATTCTAGAATGCTACTTGACATACGATGTGTCAAATCTGAGATTTGTAAAAGCGAAGTCATTTAAACTGTCTGTTTGCGAAAAAAAGAAGAAAAATAATTATAGCCACAGAGGAAATGCGTTTTACTTTAACCTATCGGCATTATCATGATATAAATTTACTATAACGACAAAAAAGTTGAACTATCTTAAGAGCAAATACTTATAACCTTTTTAAATGTTTAATTTTTGTAGAGCAGTTAAACTGGGTTTGTGTATTCTGACCATACTAATATAAGACCTTATCTGAAGTTTGACAGAAGGGAAGAAAAGTTGCGATTGACGTGGTATATATAATCTACAACATTATGTTTCATGTTCATCTAACGAACAAACGAGTAGTTTGCTCTTCAACAATTTAAAGATAATTAAAGATGTAGACTGTCACTTGCATTTTACCGAGCAGAATGTCAATGGGATGTTCGAAGTGCCAAAATGTGATGAAAAGGACCGGAATGCCACGATCAATAGATAATATACAGCATAGAAAACAGTATGACACCAATGACAGAAACAATTTCAGAATACGCATTACCTACACAATTACCACAGAGAACATGAAATGAAATCATAACATGCTGGGTTTTATAATAGAACAAATGTACTCGATAAAGTATTGATGCGGAAAAATTGCAAGCTTAGTATACTAATATTACCTTTGACATGTTCATGTAGAAGTGGAAATCATCAATACTTTTTGGTAGATCCTTTTTACAAAGATCCCGGATGTCCGCCATAGATAACTGTGTAATATCCTGCATATACAGTAACTGATAAGTTAAAATGTCATTTCATTTGCCAAAATATATAAATTATCTAGGTATCTGGGTTTTTTTTCGACAATATAAAAATGCATTAATATACAACAAAATAACAATAGTGTTCTTGACCATTTGAGCAGCTTTTAGTTTATATAAAATATTTGATATCCAGAAATGTCGATAATTGTTTCAAATTGCCACCGCGATATGCATTAATACATGAATGATGTTCAATAGTTCATTATGGTTAAACATTGTGATGTAAATGGAACAAAACAACTCACATGTTTAGACTGACTAGTGACATGATCACAGCCAAAATAACCAGTTACAGCAAGACCTTTAAAATTACTAGCTCTGGTCCCTAAATCCACCATAGCTTGTCTCGTATAGTCATGGTACCCAGTCTGCCACGCCCAAACTGGTATCAGCTTCTCAGAATCGCTCCCATATACCTAAATTTTCCATATAAAATTATTTTTGTTATCGTTACTTTTTAATCACTGTTTCCTGTCAAGACAACTAATTGAAAATGAATTTGCATTATTACTTATTCATTTATTATGTTATCAATTTCACTTTACTAACTAAACAAAAACGAACCTGCAGTAGAATTATATCGATTCATAATAATGGTGTGAAAACAATTTATTGATTAATTTGTTCTGTCCTTGGTGTATTTAAATGTTTGACGCCATTCGGTATAATATCCGGAACTATGTGTATGACGTCAATTATTTAATATGTCCGAACTAAGTTTCTGACGTTTGTTGTTTTTTTTCTATACAAGTCATACTTTATATGATGTTATTTCATGTGTTTGTTTCTTCTGTTTGTAGGTCCACTTTATTTCTGACTGCATTTTTTGTTCTGTCCAAAAATATATCTAAGTCATCATACAGTTGGTTTACTCGTTTACATCCAGCTACATTTTGTATGCACTGTAACTTACAGATTTCCATATATTAGCAATTTCGGTTGAACGTTTATTGTAGTATTTAAATCCAGCTTTCCAATTAGCTGTATCTAGACCGAGGCTCATTCCTTGTTCTTGGTTATATTTAGTTTGCCGGAATATGCCGTTCCATACCTCATTTGAATATTCGATATAAACCTGAAATGGTTATACAATTTCATGTCATATATAAACAAGAAACCAAATATAATTGAAAATAAGACTATTTTCGACGGAAGAAATACAGAGATCATCCGAATTTGTAATTAAACACCCTTGTTGCATGTGCATAGCGAAGGACTAATAAATGTACTGTTCAAATCGTATGTTTACGTGTTTCTAGAACTGGGAAAATCACGGGTTTTCCTACTTTTATATTCGGCAAAAATTTCATTACATCGGCGTAAATGCATTTAAAATGAAAATAAATGTGAATTTCTTAAAGGATGCATGTAATTATTTCCATAATTACAGTCTGGATAAATTGACTTGATTAAAATAAAAAAAACTTACCGTCCCAGTTTAGATTTTAATGTCAATAATAAAACATATCGAGTAAAGACAAGGTCAATAATGAAAATGATGAGGGGCAAGGTGAAGTTATATAGGCGAGTATAATATTAAAATACGTGTTAAGTTTTAAGTTAAAAACCACAGAGAAAGAAATATAATCGAGTTTAATATTTAAAAAGACCAGTGGCAAGGTCTAAGTTAAATACAACTTAAATAAAATTAATGCAAGTTATTATATTGATACTGAAGTGCCAATGTTGAATATGACTGGAGTAATTGAAGTTTGATGAATACTAAGAAGAGTAATCGGTTCTTATATTATTATGCTTGGGACTTCAACGACGGACTACGTGTTTGAAATATTCACACAACAACAAAGTCGTTCTTGATGAAAGCCGTTTGTCAGTCATGCATTGATGTGATAAAATTTATAGCACATAGAGTGAATGATATTTAGTTTTTACCTTGACATCTGGTCTTAGGGTAGTTTTTGACATGTTTGCAAATTGTTTGATAAAGTCGTCATCGGCGGCATGCGGTTGATTGAACCATGGGTCAGATCCAACGATATTTGTGAGATGTATCAGGTATTCTATGGCACAACCAGCGGAACCGGTTTGTGTGTGAAACTCTGGCATTCTTCTTGTCTTCCACGTTGTAGGTTCCGGCTGAAAAACACAAACCTGTGAAGTAGCACGTTTACACCCCGACTTGTGCGTATTAGTGAGTAACAAATGAAATAGGTAACAAATGTACCGGTTTACCGATTCTACTTTGCCTTTAAAACATATTTTCTATTATGTTACCTATAAATTGTCATAATATATAGCAATAACACAAACCCTGATCGTGTCTTAAGCAGGTGAAATTTTGTTATTTCTTGCATTGCAAATTCAAAGTTTAGATATACCTGAACTTAAACCATTTTTTCAAAAGTTTGATTAGTGTAAGTTTATTGAATAATTCGAAAAAAGAGCTTTCACGCCAATTTTTGGTCAAAAAATACATAGAGGATACAAACAGACAAATTTTCTTTTTATTTTATGCTTTAAAACAAGTTTAAACGAAATTTCCATAATTTTAACGTTAATATTAAAATCTGTTTCCCCCATTGAGAGCCCCATTCAGAGGGAATTTCTCATTAAAAACAAGAAGTCTTGAGCTGAGAAATAAGTCCGCCAATCAAGGTTAAATGACGGTGATATTTATTCATTTTATTAAAAAATATGAATGATCGCTTGTTTTAATAATAAAAACAAACAATTCTTGTAGGAGAAAAAGTCCAACCATCCATCCATATTTCTGTTACTTACTGCGAATTTATATTAGACCTGGCTTTGTAAAATGTAAGCGGCAGCCATTTTTTAAAGTTGTGTATTTCATGGGAGGAAAATAATTGTGTAAGATTCAGAAGGATATAATTGGATTTGTTAGTCATACACCTTTTTAAAAGAAAGAAAACTTATTTGAGGATTGTAACAGACAAAAAATAAGTGTTGACAGAAGTGAAAACATTCAGAAAAGGAGTTAGGAAAATGGAAAACTTGGAAGCTTGCTAAGGCATTGTAAGGAACGTTGGGTTATTTTACTTATTTTACGAGTGATGGCTGTCAATGCTTTTCAATTTTTCATAAAGCATACGGCAGTTATTGCTCGTAGGATACTTTAATATGCCCAAATGTCATCAAGAGCAGTTTAGCATGGGGAAGGAATGTATTTTTCAGACTGTAAAAACGAAACAAAAAAATTTAGAGACGAAATTTTGTGATTGGAATTTGAAGGAATAGAAGTAAGTTTTCTCTCTTTATTACTTTTGACATTTAAGTTATTTATCTATTTCAGCTTTGCTATTTTTTTAACAGCCTGATATTGTCAGAATTGTCAGTAAAAATAAAATTGAGGTACCACATGGGGAAAATCTTAAAAAAGTAGTTTTGTCATTGAAAAAAGTGAAATTATATTTTGATAATTTTCACTGTGAAATTATCAAATATAATTTTCACGGATAAATCAGTAATCCACTGAAAAGCATAAAATAAAAAATCTTAATATTTATTAACGTTGAACGGTCGGCAGCGTAGGAATGTTTCATGAACAAGTCTGCCTGCTTTTAATATTATTATGTAGATTTAAAGTCAGTGGGTTTATAGATCAGAAATATAGTTAATTACACAACTGCCCTAAAATATAAGTGAGAAAAAAATTATGCACTTGTCAGATACATTTTTATTGACATATATATTCAATGAAATTACTTTCTGAATATTTCAAAAAATAACGATAGCTGATAATTTGTTTTCTCCACCAAACTACCATTACCACCACATAACAACATTTAATATAATAATAATAATAATGAAAATAATAATAATGAAAATTGATAATAATGATAACAACAACAAGAACAACAAAAATATACCGTGTGTCCATTTGTATGTAACATATCCATAAACCTTAGCTCTGAGTAACGTTTAATGCTGTTCAAAAATGGCGGGTAAAAGGGGAACAACTCATGTCGATCCTCAAACCCAGGCAATATCAACCGGATGTTATGTATAGGATTTGCGCTATTTGTTCTCATTATTTTTATGAAGATACCGCCACTGTTTTCATGAAACTCAACAACCATCCTTCCTATCAGGAAATAACAAGAAACTTTACTTATTTTCATGATCTTTACAACTATTGCAAATATTTTAAGATGAAAGTAAACGTCTTTTGTTACTGCAATACAAAGTAACGTATATTGTCAATGCGTGAGTGGTACGTAAATGGTAATGAAATTATTTAACAGAAATCAAACGGAATTCCTCATATTTGATCTGTCGCTGTAAAAGTGACGTCGTGGGTTACTTTTACGGGGCATTCTGTACTATGTCTCCATTGCATGGCCATATGAAATTAATTTTGCATGCACCTTTTAGGTCTAAAGGGGGTTCAAGTACTTAAGTGGTTAAGATTCCGGAGCTAGCTTACGATGTGGAGGTAAAAATATTGTTCTACAAACACCTGTTTGTAGCAATCAATCACTCCAATTGATTTAATTTACATTTCTTTGATTAACTTATGACTTTTTTTTTAAAGAAATATACAAGCATGTATGAACCTTTCCCGTTATAATGGATAACCGGTCTGACGAGACTAAATGCTATCTCTCCATCTCCGTCATACAGCAGTGTAAAGTTCCCCTGCGGACCGTGTATCCCTGCGTTTGCTCGAAGAACTAATTTTCCAACTAACATATCATCTGTTAAGTAAAGACAATAACGTTTGATTGTAACGGAAAGTTCTGTTGTTGTTTTATTAAAAAAACAACAAAAAAATAAAAACATCAACAAACAAACAAAAACACATAGCAATGACAAAACGTCTTATTGGAAAAGCAAACTGGATATCTAATTGTATGACAAATTTTCTTTAAAAATGAATAAAGCTTTACATTTATCATATTTGGAATATAATAAGCTAATGGTTGTGTTACAATGTAACACTTAAACGTTTTCGATATTCTTGCAGAAATTGTGACACATATCTGTTATCAAATTAAAGGCGTGTAAGAAAGATTATGCAAGCCTAACAGGAAAGATGACGTAATGAGCATACTCGGTAGACTGGCTGGATATCCGTCGTCGCGCCACGTGATTGTGTCATGCTCGTGCGTGTCCCATTGATGCGTGGTGTGATGTTCTGTAATCCATTCTTGAGACTGTTTTGCAACGTCAACAAATTTCAGTTCCGGTGACCAGTATGAAAGACCTCCAAGATTCATTCCAACGGAAATGTTTCTATTCATCATCCTATAATATTTCATATTATTTTCTCTTCTCACGAGACTAATACAAAATGGCTTCAATTTTTTTTTATTTTCACGTGGCTTGTCTCATGAATTGATAATAAATATCGTATCACTATTTGAAGAAAGAAATGCTGCATTTCTAGAAGACCAAAATAACTTTAAACATCAGGAAAAAAATTTCCCCGAGTCCTAAGTACAAATGAGTACATAAAAGAAGGTCTGAAACCATGATTTATCTGATTATTTTTGGACTGTAAGTGGTAACACTTAAGCTTCCTGCTTCTGACAAAACTTAACTTGCTATTACTATTATTGTTGCTTTAATTGTTTGTGTATGAAACATGAACGATTAACATTGATTAACTTACACACGTTTGAGATTATAAAAAAGTATAATCATAAACACGTTACAATAGATAATAGTTGTCAACAGTCGTTGATTAAATAAAAATGATTATTATACGTACATGTTTTTATCAAACGTGTCACATGTAATTCCTTTATAACCCTCCCAACATTCGCATTGTCCATTCCAGCACGTGCCGTATTTACACGTATGTGCACATCCACATACACCAGGTCCAATACACTGTACGTCTATAACAATCACGTGCAATAAATTTGAATCTACTTTTGCATTATTTCATGTAAAGCATGCAACGAATACAAGATTCAATAATAAATGTTTAAACCACCACACTGATGTTTCTGTCTTCGTGTTGGCAATACTTTTTTTACAGAGACAATGTTACTTTCAAGCCTATAAATGTAGAGCAAGAACAAATATCAACCTCCACAAATTATTGTCATGGCATCGTACGTTTAGGATATAATTTATCCTTAATCCGTAGAATTCCTTTTAAATATAAAACTAAAAAAAAAAAAAAAAAAAAAAAAAAACAAAAAAAACAACAACTTCCGAATGTCCCTATGCAAAATCGGTTTGAACACGGAATTGCAACACCCCATTAGCTCCACACGCGTTTTTACAAATCATTATGTCAAAACTGAAAAAAGAGGTGTTTATGTTTACAGCCAGAATAGTTTTTTGTGGAAGTGTTTTTGTTTACTGTTTCAAACTGAACGGAGATTCGTTACCTAGTATGCTTTTGCAAGAAGTTTAACCGAGATATCACGGGTGTTGCAAGCCCATTTACAAATCGATGAATATCACTTTAAAGTTAAAAAGCATTCTCCTTCTTACATGCACAATGCATGCACACAATGCAAAAGCATGTTGGTTATATAAGGAAATATAAGGGTGATTTTTTTAATGTTTTATGCTTACCATTCGGACAATTACAATCCCAGACACATCTATAGTGAGTTTTAGACCACATCCAGCCCCGGTCACATTGGCATGTATTATCTGTTTAATTAAATCACTCGTGAAAAAAAAGATACAATCGACAAAAATGTTATCACTTAAAAAATGTTAAAACACAAGACTTTGTCTTTAAATTACACCAAACATGATAACAAATTCAAAATGTTGAAGGTTTTGTTTGATGCAATTGCAGTGATAGACCACGCCCAGTGGTTTCGGTATGCAATGTTACTTTGACAATGATGTAAATTTAAGTTAGAAAACACCCATGCTTAAATAAAGGGTATTTTATTAACTAACATGTATGCCCAGTTCCATGTTTATCCCAAAAGGTGCACGAATCGCCCTCTGTTATGCCATACTTTATTGGAAGTGTTAACAGGACATTGCGTCTTCATTTCAAAACGTTTGTGAAAATAATACAGATCAGAGGTTGAGACTCTTTATAACAAACCTTGCATGCATATTCCGTGACCATGACAACCGCAGTCTACACTACAATCTACCCCTTTGTATCCTTCATAACAATTACACAGACCACTACGTGTATTACATATCCCGGTCCAGTTACAATGTGGACACTTGGTATCTAACAGGAAACACTCGGATACACTGTAATGTAGGTAAAGAAATAAAAGATATATACAAATATGAATTATGTTTGAATGTACCAGTTGGTAACACAAAGGACGTACCGCGTTGTTACACAAAGAAAGTGCACGTGTATTGTTTCTGCCTTCTTTTGCCTAATAATGAAAGAACCGTGTTATTGCTTGTCTTTTGATTAACGTCAAAGGCATGTGCCCAATCATGCGAATTCTTTGATAATATAAATAAAAGAAAAGAACAACGTAACAACGCAAGTGTTTTTTCTTAATGGAAATTTGCTTGTGAAAGTTTGTGGGCTTTCTCTAATTTAACAAATAAAGGCGTGCATGATAACCTATCTTTGATAGACATTGAAAGTGCACGTGTACTAGCATTCCTAGTCTTACATCATAGAAAGAAAAAGAAAACGCGTTTATAACTTCAATTATTACACTCTTGTCTTAATAAAGTAATCCTTTTCTTCAGCGCAGGTGCACTTCCTTTCTTCACTGAACTAAGAATGTTGGTGTACATTTGTTTGCGTTGTGCATTTTACAATAAATTACACCAGGGGCGTAGCTATGCCAAATATTATATTACGCACACTCACGCCGGGGGTTTAGGGGGCCGCTATAGGCCCCCTTGCAGGTCCTCGATTTTTACCATTGATGGTTTCTTGAATTATGCATTTCCATGTTATTTTTAGGTCAATTAAATAAGAAGTTTAATTTAGTAATTAATAGTTTTAATGCATTAGTATGACATGCGATTTGGCGATCATCTTAAATATAATTGTTAGATTGTATATCAATTTTTCAAGATCTTTGGTCAACGTTATATAACTAAGGATATACTTTGCATAACAAGACACAAACAAATGACGCTGTCAGCAAATGAAAGTGTCAAACAGCAATTGTTTCGTCGTGCAAATGTATCTATAACGACGTCAGTCTTGACCTCACTGTCTGTCTGGATGTGCACAAGGCCTAAGCCAGAGAGTCGACCAGTGGTCATTGATGCGCACAAGAAAGTATTTAACCCTCTTATCCTGCTGAATGAACGTCCAGCGTTACCGTTAGTAAAAGCAAATGCAGGCACCTGTTCACATTTGGATAACGCTCTATCGGTATATCCTGCGGCATAGGTTGTATAGTGGACGGAGCCTGCAACAGAAAAGTTTTTTCATCGTGTCTTTCAGCGTCCATACTCGCGTATAAAAGTTTCTTGATCGTCAATAAATCCTCTTGTACAACACTATAAATGTCAGCAATCCGTTGACGGTCCAAGTTAATGTTCACAGTAAAAAGCCTCACGTGCTTCTGTTTCTCATGCTTCGACGAAAACAGTCGAACGTGGCTTCATTTACTTATTAGGCATTACAAAGAAAACTTTTTTTTGGAGCGAATATGCTATATATCACACTGAGAAGTGTGCTTCACATTTGTTAAAATATTGCAATTTTCCCATTTCTCTGTCTGATATATAGCATATTTAATCACAAAAGGCATGCATACATCATCTACACATATTGGTTCCACTGTGTATAAGCAGTAAATTTTCGTTATTTGAATCATTTTATTTCTAATTGATAAGAGAGATGTCTATCCAAAAGGCCGATATTTCAAACAATTATGGTCTTATCACAGTTACTAAACTATATATACGCATTGAAGCGTTGAGTTGTCATATATTATGTACCTTAATAACATTAAATACTTATTTTCATTGACTTTAATATTTAGCGCATTTTTTCGCTTTATTTGAATAACGCATGTAACTTGGTTACGTGATAAAAAACGTTATGGTAATAATGTTACTGTACGTGGGGAAAAGCGCTTTCATGTGATTTAATCATGATATGTTATTTTGTATGTTTATAATGGCGTTGACCACGTTTAAAGTTTATTTACTTCAGGTCTATAAAATGTGTTAAAACGTGAAGAGATTTACAAATGCATAAACTTAAAAAACGAACACATAAGAGTGGAACTCAATAAAATGTTTTTTTTCTGTAACTAAGAACAATAGCCATTGCTCCATGGTTGCCGCATCCATGGCTTCGTAAAGAAAGGGGTGTCGTTGCATGCCTCAACAATAATTTTGCTTATAATTTCGCCACACAGACATTTTTTCGTTCTGGATTTCGGATGAAGTGTAATTCTTGCGAGGATTACGTGATCAAGGAATTACAAAGTTTCTGTCGTCAAGGGCCAACGCGTGTTCATGTGTTTACAATCAACTTTATTTTTATTTTGCAAGGGGTAATTCGATTCATGAGGAATAGATTTTAAATTAAAGAACACATTTAAACAAAATTTATGAAATAATCTTAAACACAATTATGTTTAGGGAACTATAGGCCATGTGATATTTTTTGGAATCAGTCAGTATAAATCTAAAACAAAGTACTTAAATGTAGATTAAGCAGGAGCGTACCTCGGCTTATTATGTGTATACGCCGAGTGCCTGTTTTTGGCCGACGGATCGCCAGAGACTTATATATCAAATATAGCCATGTGCTATAACTAAGGATTTAGGGGATATTTAAGCTAATTGTACTACTATTGTCTTTATCTATAGTTATAAAAAATAAAATCAAGTACATGTGTTGAGTGTAAGAGAAAGAAAGTCTAACGTGTACACTGTCTTTTAAATAGTTCAAAAGTTATTTGCTTTTAGAAAACAAAACATAGCAGGTTTTGTCTCCTTGAAAAAAAAGGGGGTTTTTATTTCCTTTTTTTAAAATTTTTTAGTTTTTTTTTGTTTTTTCTTTTTTCCCCATAATTTAAACCCTTGAGATTTTTTCCCAAGGGAAATTTTGTTTAAAAATTAATCTGTATGACTTAAAATAAAAAACAAACACCCTTAAAAATGTTTTTTTTTTGTAAAAAAACATATCGTTTCACAGTTTTAAAATGTAGTATCGCACGTTTCTTTTTTCCCTTTCCTTAAAATTTTTTTTAATGTTTAGAAAAATTTTTTTAGAAAAATTTTGCTTTAACTTTGGTTTTCAAGTTATTCTATTTTTTTTTCCATTACAATTAAATCCTCACGCACAAAAATTTGTCTTTAAAAAACAACTCCCCAAAATTTTTATCCAAAGCCGCAAAAAATTAAAAAAATTTTAAAGACATGATGTTTTTATAGATTGGGACATTGTTTTCGTTGTAAATTTGTCTATGTTTTAAAATATTGTAACTAGAAATAAAGATAAAATTATAAAATTTTTTTAATTTACCAAGGAAAAATGGTTTGCTATATAAGTAAAATATATTTAAATTTTTGAAAAAATTAAATATGAAATAAAATAAAAGTGGGCCCCAGTAAAAACCCATTTTTTTGAATTTTTTTTTTAAACTATCTAGAAATAAAAAAATCAACTAAGAAAAAAAATTTAAAACCCCAAAATAATCTTAATTAAATTTCTTAACGCTGTATACAGACTTTTAAAAACCTTTTTACTTTGAAGTCACAATGCCCCAAAGGGGGCAAAAAAAACCAAAAAAAAAAACAATTTTTTTTTCTATTTAAAATTTTTTTTTTTTTTGAAAATTAAAAAAAACAAAAAAGGGTTATTTTTTCGTGAAATAGGGAATATTTTTTCACGAAAAAACCCCTTCTGATGTTTCCGTTTATTAAAAAAATTTGTTATTTTCAAAGATATTATTTTCCCTCCTCAATTTTGTTTTTTTTCGGAAAAAGAATATTCAAGTTTATCTAAATTTTAAAAAAAGAATGTATTGAAAAGTTTTTTCCCTTTAATTAAAAGCCAGTAAAATCACGATTTTCAGTTTTTTTTGCGGCTAACTTAGAAACGTTTAAAAATTGGGGGTTTTCCCCTGAAAAAAGTAGGGGGCTCATTTAAAAGACGTTTTGGGAACGAATTATTCCCCCGGAAAATAACCGGGTTTCCCAAATTTCCGGGAATTTAAAAAAAATAATAATGAAAAAAAATCCCGAAAAAAAGGGATTTTGCTAAAAATAAAAAAGGAAATGTGGGGAGGGATAACGAATCTTTTTGGCAATCCCGCACACACCGGGACGGAATCTTGAAAAGGTCTGATTGACGACACAGATTCCAATTCCTTACCCGCTACCCCACCCACTAGTAGCAGTAGCAAAAATTTTAAAAACCCCGGGTTTCGATTGTTTGTAAAGTAAAAAAGACTAAAAATGTTGTTAAATGGGCCCCCAACGAACTTCGGGGGAGCCCCGTATTTAGAATTGTCACTTTTAGCAAACAACTTTATTGTTTTAGCCTATAAAAAGTCTCTTTTTTTAAAAAAAGTAGTTAACGAACAGGGTTTTTGGGGTATTGCTTATTTGAATGCGGTTGGTTTCAGAGAGAAGTAAAAAAACGGGCAAGACGCACCCGTACTGGAAAACGGGGAAAAGGGCCTGTTTTTTGATTTTAAACAAAAGGGGCCCCCGGGTATGTACATACACAATTTTTTAATTTTAAATTCAATCAAAATTTTTAAAAAAGGAACTAAATTTATTTCATTGAACCAAGTAAATTTTTGTTGAATCCCTACGGGGGTTTTTAACTTTTTTGATAGCAAAAAAACATAACTACACTGTTTTAGTCTTAAATTTGAGTACTACACTATCCCCTCTTATACACCACGAAGTAATGTGGGGAACAACCAGTTTGGAAAATATTTTTTTTTTAAAAATTTTTTTTAAGAGGGGGGAAAAGGAAAACAAATTCTCCCGATTTGTGTTTTTAAAGTTTTTTTCCCCCTTAAAAGAAAATTTAAAAAGAAACATTTTTTTATTAATTAACTACCAGCAATTTTTATGGGGACCAACAAAAAAGTTCCCCCTTTTTGTATAAGTTCCGGTTTACTTGGGGGGGTTTTGAATTTAAAAGGGATTTATGGTACCTAAAACGTTTGAAATATTTTTAGTTTCCCGGATTGAAATGATTTTTCGCAATTTTGTTTTAGGGAATTTTGGATTTTAAAATTAAAGTGTAAGTTTTTGTTCATGTTGTACTAATGTTGAAAAAAATTTAAATTTTTATATATGCCAAACCCCCAAGGTCAAACCCACCCCTGAAAACCTGCTATAAAAACAAATAGTATTTTCTGAAACTTAATATATTTAAAAAAAAACAGTTTTACCCCTTTCCCCTTTCCCTTGATATTGTCTACACTTTTCAAGACAAAAACACTTTAAAAACGAAAAATTTATTTTTTATACCCTTTTATTTTAAAAGGGAAAATTTTTATAAAAAAAATTTTTTTTATGTGTTTAAAACCCCAAAATTCTGTTTTTTTCCCAAATTAACATTTAAAATGAAGTTTTTTCGATTGAATATTTTAAACCCTTTTTATACCAAAATAAAAATTTTTTAATTTTGAATAAAAAATGTTTTGGATCCATTTTAAAATTTTTTTAAATTTTTTTTTAAAATTTTTTTTAATTTTATTTTATCATAGTTTAGTTTTTTTGCTAAATTTTTCCCTTTTTAAAAGGCTGTCTTTTCAGGGCCTATTTTTAAATTTTATTTTAAAAAGTAAAAAAACTTTTTCAAAAGTTATAGGGAAATATGTCATTTAAAAAAATTTTTTAAAAAAGAAATTATAATTAATTTTTTTTGATTTTAAAATTTTTAAAATTTATTCTTTAAAAGGGAAAATACTTTTTTACTAAAAGATGTTCTTATAAAAAATCAGTTTCAATTATTTTTTCCCTTTAAATTTTCCCCAGAAAATTTTAAAATAAATAAAATTTTCATATCCCAAATGGATCCTGCTCTTTTTTAACCTTTCAGTTTTTGATCTTTAATGTCTTTTTTTTTTGTGTTATAACATTTTTTCAGCTTTTATTTTGTCCCCCCCCCTTCCCCCCCTAAGTATGTAATATGATTGTGTTTGACTGATCAAAAATTTTTTAACCCTTTTGGAAATTATAATTTTTTTAAAAAGTTTTGAAGGGGAAAGAAAACACACAATACTTGCAAACTGTAATTTGTGTTTTTGGGTAATAAACAGTTTTTTTTCCTAAAAAAAAGGAAAAATCTTTGAGAAAGAAATATATGCAATAATGGGGAATAATATTTGCCATTTTTA